TTTTCCTTGTGTCTCGATCATGGCAGTCATATATTAAGGATGATAAATAACCAAATCCAGAATCAGGAGGAGTAAGGCAGTCTGCATTTATCGCTGTCACATTGTTTAAATGAGGACCCATCACATGCCCAGAGGACAAGACAGAGCAGCTGACTCCAACCATATGTCTATCAACCCACATAATCCTAAAACATCTCGCTCTGTTTTCCTTTGTGATTTCATTTCCCCTTTTTTTCTCAGTTTGCATGGCACTGGACACAAAACCAGACACCCACTCTTTGCCCACCCAACCTGGCAGGACAGAAGCAGCACCTGTGTACCTTGCCAGCACTGGTCACCAAAATCAGCAGGAGAATGCCTGCCAAAACTGCCATCGATTTCTGCTGTGGCTCTGAGCTACGTTAAGCTCGGTCCACGGTCACAGCTCAGCAGCTCAACGCCTATGCGGCGCTCTATCTGGTTTCTCTTTCACAGCAGACTGAACCAGAGAGCCCAATGCCAGCTGGCCTGCCTGGAGCTTTTTACCCACATACTCCATCAAAGTGCAGTGTGGTAATTAGACAGGGTTAATGCCAAGCCAAGCCAAGCCACGCCACAGGTGCCTATTTATTATTGGATGGGTTGATTATCAAGTGTCCCACAGCAACAGCCACTGAATAGGTTCAGGTATCCTTTTTGTTGGTTGTCATATGTGAGTCTGTGCTCTTTCAGCAGCACATATTTTAGCATATTCCTCCCATTTGAAGGAGTCAGTCCATTCATCTCTCACCATCGGCTTAACACATCCTCTCGTCTGGCTCATTGTCGCGTCTGGGACAGTGATTACTCTGGAGACACTATGGATTAATCAGACTGTAGAGAACACATTGATCTTCAGCCCAATCCATCAGATATTGGCTTCTGCTCGATGGAGGGGGGAGAAGTGCAGCGTGAATATCAATCCCACAAGGTCAGGGGTTTCCGTTTGGGAAACAGGTTATAACTGAGGTGACTGTGTTACAAGGAATAATCAAATGTCCTTGATTGAGTGTGACATGCATTCAACAGTACAGCTTGATAATAAACAGACTTTTGATAAAGTCCTTTACAAAAAGCCATATAGTTTTAATTTAAATACTTGACAGGTATAATATTCTTAAATGTAAATATCTACAATAAGAATATTTTAAAGCCTACTGAGGCAAGAGAAAATAAACAAATTTCTCTAGTTTGACAAACACTACCCCCCCCTTCAAAGAAAGAGAATAGCCACAGTCATAAATCACTAAATAGCTGATTTACTTTAATCCAACTTCAACTTTGTAAGAGCCGTCCACTTAATTTTCTTCTTTATTTATTTCCTCCACAGTTTGAAATATAATAGTCTTTGATGAGCACCACACAACTAGACAGTGATTTATTGCATAGGCAAACAACCCCACTGTGACTCTGCTAGAAAAGCAGAAGCACTGGAGGAAGATAACTAATTATTTTCTTGACTGATTTTAAGTTTGACCTCACACAGTCTTGCTGATCACACTAGTGTTTGACCATATATTGTGTACAGCGACGTTCCTGAGCTGCGTGGGTGCACCCCGCTGCAAACACGCGGATGAATAGGGATGAATGGCGCACTCGACTATGCCCGTACAATGAAACTTTCATATTTTTTCATTTTTCATATCATCTGGTTGCTGCTGCTTACATTCATACACCCAGATGCAAATTCAAAAAATGCACTGTGGAATGTTTGGGGTGTATACATTTATGTATATAAATAACTGTTTATTTTATACGTTACCATATTTTAATATAGGCCTACACTTAATTATATGTTGTGTGTGTAGCATGAAGGAACTACAAATTTAGTTTCGTTATGCAGCCTTGTGCTGTATAATGACTAATAAACAACCTTATACCTTGTAAAATGAGGCACGCAGAAGACGATATGAGGCCCATTCTGTGCATGATTTGCAGCGTGGAAATGTCATGTTTTAACACGAGTACTGGCACTGAATATTTCTCTATGTGACAGCGATGGCTGTAGAAGCCAGTCATGCAGCAACAATAGAGTTTGATTCAATTCTATACAGTGATGCAGGATGAACGGTGTCTGCAGCCTGCCCGCAGGCAGACAGGCTGGTGTGTAAATATATATGACCTGAAACATCAGAAAGATAATAAATGTACTTGTAGATGCATTAGCATATTGATGAGAAACTCTTTAAGGACATAAAAATGCACATATATCCTGTATGGGAATGTGTGTGCTGGTTTAGGAACTTCGGTTCACATATATGGACTGCTGTTCAGAGTTAGATGATTTCAAAGCTGTTTAGGGAACAATTCTCCTCGTCTGTTTCCTGTCGCAGGTGAGTTATTTAGTCAAGCATCCTTATCTTGGAATTAAGCTCCATGGCAACAACCAAAATGATGCGCTCCACCATAATAATCTGCAGCAGTTCTTTGTGGTGCAGAGCATCAGGGAAACACATCAAATCCTCAACTTGATTTTCAGCCTTGAATATGTATCCGACATTTATGCAAATCAATACTATCTAGAAACATGTGGGTGAATTTTTTCTGTTCTGTTTTTAAACTATAACTTTAAAAGGATGACATGATGGGAAATAGGCCTGGTGGGTGAAAGTAAATAAAACAATGCAGGTCTTTGCTTTTGGTTGTACACCGGGCCAATTTCGGATTCCTCCGAAACGATAAAGCTTCATTTTCCTGCCCCTGACTCACAGCACTCTTGCATTGCTGGGGGGTGGGGGGGAAGGGGGGGGTGGACGACTCGTCTCATCGGAGCTTGACATGAACTGCCCTCCTGAAAGGCTCTGATGTGACTGACACCTCTCTCCTCTTTGTCTTCGCCACTCCAATTAGTTCGGTGACAGGTGCATGTGGAGAAGCGAGACAATCAATTACTGTCCCCACTTCTTTTTTCATCTTCCCTGTGTCTTTATCACACTCTGTCTCGGCCTCTTCCTTTCTATTACTCTTAATTTATCGCCTTTACTTCCTCTTTACCATTTTCCCATTCATACCTTGTCAGGCTTCTCATTGTCTCCTCATAAAATATCCTCTCTCACACTCTCTCTCTCTCTCCATTTCACTGCAGCATGCCTCAGTCAGGTGACTGAGAGAGAAAAAGAGGGACTGTGAGGCGTCTTCCTGCTTTCCATTCACACACACCAAGCAAAATCACTGCCCGGCGTAACACTGATGTCACTCCACTACTATAGGTAGCAGTAAACCCTGACAAAGTCACAATAAATGCTGCACAGTCCCGTGGGACTGTCTCATTAGGGAGCCAAACTGGGTACATTAGTCCATTTATTTGTCAGACACTAGAGTCAAATGCATCTGTAAAATCACTAGGTATCCTGGGTTATTTAAAACACTGATGTCACTGCAGGTTTCAGGGTGGGTCTTCTTGACTTGATGTTTAATGGTAGAAGTTTGCCACCTACTGGTAATGCTCATCACCTTCTCTTATTGCACATTATTAAAAGCTGGTGTGGTTCCTTCACTTACACCGTAACGTTTTAACTTGTGGATTGGATTCGTGATACCAATGATTCAACAAAAATACATAACTTACCACCCTCCCTTTGCTATATGCTGAAATTGCAATTCCAGGTTACTTTAAGTTATATAATTAAAAAATGAGGAACTAAAAACAAGAGCCGAAGAAAAATTAGCTGTACATGGCACATAGAAAAAGCAAGTTCTTAAACCATATTAAACACTTAAAGGCAAGATAGTAAATATAAAACAGTTAGTCAAGAGGTCAATATTACTAAATATACATTTAGTAACAGAGTTAAATAAATGTATTAGGACTTATAGTATAGTTATAGTAGGATACTTTAAATACTGACTATGATCACATAATCAGTATCTTTTAAACACCTTATTGTTTTCGTCCATAGTAGGCAGCTGTTTTCAGCCAAAAAGCTCTGATAAACCCACTGTACAATAAATAATAACTGTACAGTTACCTGCCAAGAACCAGACAGCAAAGTTAGCAACTAACTTAGCTCGTAACACTTAGCAACTAAAGAGCCAGAGGTGGAAATGAAAAACAGAGCAAAAAAAGATAAAAATAGTGAATGTTGGACTTACATTCGCCAGGTAGCATAAACATGACTCAGTATGAATGATAATGTTGCTCCGTGTCTGCTGGATGTGTATATAACGTTAGGCAACTGTTTGCTAGCATGGTTAGCGTCTGAATTTCAAGATGATAGTTGTAACAAAGCTGAGAAAGCTTGTTTCCCACAGCTCATAAGTGGCTAAAATATCACTAATTGCAGGTTTAAATGTACAAGTATTAAGTTAGGTCGTTATTTAGCTAAATTAATGAATTACGATTAGGATATAACAAACTGTGATTGTGATTATGGTGATTAGGCCTAACGTTATATTAGGAGAGATTAAATTCTCAGAAACATGGAGAATCATGTTACAACAAAATAATGATGCCATGTAAGGACAAGACGTCAGCACATGTGGTACTGCTATATTATGACCAGTGGACATAGTAGTTTTAAATGTACTAATATCGATGATTCTCTTTTAACAGGAACTATATAATCAATGAGGAGAAAAATGTGGTGGGTGACCTACAGTTGTGATCTGATGTCTTCTTGGTTATTTAAAGCTTAAAAATTGATAGCATAACTGAACGTTTTCTTTGTCACTGATAAAAAATAGTAATTTTAACAACAGGGTATGTAAAGATTCAAGGACAGGCTACGTTTTTTGACACTTGGCTGATCCATCATGGCTAATGCTCAGGTGTCCTTGATTTTTCTCATCAGGCTTTAATTGAAAAAATGGTCTTTAATCATTACTCCATTACTGAAACTGTCATTCAGTAAGTACTGTACAAGTAAAATGTTTCACTGACCATCAGTGTAGCAGCAGCAATGTGATCATTTTATATCCTTTAATGAGATGATGAAATATTTGCACAAAATGCATCTTAAAGAAATATAAAAAAACAGGCAAGGTTTTCCATTTTGAATGTGTCGTGGCACCATTTATTTATTAAAGTTATGCATAACCTTCCAACTTGATCATTGTACAGTATATGTTAAACTTCATGACATTATTAGAATATCAGGCAGTCAGATCAGCATCACCGACAGTAGCAGAAAGAAGCAGCATTTCTGTAAGGAGCTGATACAGAAAGAGCTTGTAGAAGTGGGGGAACGGGCCAAGATACCCAAAGGCAGATGAGGAAGCATGACATAAAGAGTGTGGGACGTGATAAATAAGCAGGAAAGGCACCAGGTTGTGAGGAAAAAGAGAAGGACGACACCCGTAAGTGTTCACAGGGAAAAGAAGGGGGAGAATCACACGCAAAGGAGAAGAGGAGCAGACGAGAGGCAAAATACCATTCACAGCAAGGAGGAATAGGAGGAAGGAGGCAGCACAGAAATGCAACAGGACCAGATCAGAGCCTTTGGACTCTTCATTCTAGTTAACACCACACCTAGAATTTTTCTTAAATTCTAGACTTTAAAACACAGTTCAAGAGTTTTTAAGGGGATCTATCCATCACCAGTGCAACTCTGGCCTCTATCAGTCTGAATATATTCCTGCCATTTCACCAGGGTACGCTAGGCTAGCGTGCTTGTTTGCTAGCGTGCACTCAACACTCAACACTAACCCTGTATGACTGAAGCAGGAAAAGCAGCCAAACAGCTAACACCATGGCCAAAAGCATGCAAGCAATGTGGGAAACACTTTTTAAGTTTTTAAGAAAGAAAATAAATACATCTTGGGATAAAAAAAAATCTTAATACATTATCTTAAAATTTTCCTTTTCTTCTTTTGTGTTTCATATATATATATTCTAAACACACATCTTTGTACATTTTGGTATAAGTTCTCTTTCTTGCAGGGAGTTCCGGGGGGAAAATGGGTGTTAGATGATAAAGAGGTGAGGTTATGGGGCAATCCCACTTCCCTGATTGCCTTGTGCTAACGGAGGGGCTGGGGCGTGACATCAGCAAAGATGACTCCTCCCTTCAAACGTTTCTGCTCAGACTTAGTCTCTCATTCTCTGTGGCAACCGTGGGCGACGGCGATGGAAAACAAATGGGGCTCAGCAGTGAGAGGACAAGCTTATAAGATGTCCAGAAAGTCCAGGACACAAGAAGTAGGAACCATACTCAGAGTCGGTACTTCGTCTTTGGGACCAGAGCCAAAAGCTGAGGCACGGACTTCCACTATCTCTTATCTGGGGAAAAGAAATTGAGGTGTAGGATCAGAGAAAAGGCCAGATACAGGAAGCGATTCATATATTAAGATGTAGTGATTCATATGTTGACACTGAGCATAAATTGACATACCTTTGTTTCCATCCGTGTCTTCTGCTGACCTCTCTGGCCTTTGGCATATTAGATTATTGTACTTGGCCTCAACCTCCTGCAAGAGAAACAGATAAGTCACTGTCAGATCAGGCAATAAAAAGACCACACCGTGTCAGTATTGTACTTTCTTCATAGGTTTGTGTTTTGGTGAGCTCAGTTACAGATACCTTCAGATAGTTGAGGTTGGCTTGAAGGTTTCTAAGGTGAGACAAGACCTGTCTGCTAAAAGAGGAGAGGCTGCCAGCTTGTGACGCTGTAGAAAACCTCAAGTTGATGCCGGAGTCGGCGGCGCAGCCTTGTGAGGTGCGCAGCTGCTTCCCTGTGCTTGATGCCAAGATGTCATCGTCAGTGCTGCTCTCCCCTGGACCACCGTAACCCTCCAGGACTAAATATCCTGCTGAGAGAATCAAAAAGGAGCCATTTGACTACTTAAAGAAACATCTATCTGGTTAAGTACAAATCTATTTAAACCTCCAGTGTAATGTATAATGACAAATCAATTGTCCAGGCTCACCATAATCTTCAGGAGAATCAAAGAAGCCCGTGTCCCCAGAGCCCAGGTCCTGAGTCGGGTCCTCTGTCTGGGAGCTGTTCTTCTGTGAGCCATTGTGCACCATCACCCGTGCGCGGTTGTCTACGGGGGTCCGCAGAGAGGTGGTCCTGAGGAGACGCGCCCCTGTGGAGCGTTTGTTTTGTTCGGCAGCCTCCTGGGACATCAGCTGGGTCACCAATACCTGCTTTAATGCTGCCACTGAGAGACAGGTGAGGGGTTAAGGGCTTTGAAAGATGTACCTACAATATCTGCGTACAGCCGATTCATTCCCTGCACATGCAGGACTTGGTTTTGACTTATTTGTGCTGTGTGCTTACATGTTTTCAGTGCTTCGTCTGCTCTGGAAGGGAACATGTTAAACGAGTCTCCTTCTTTGCCATCGTCTGCCACTTGGTAAGGAAGCTCTGGGTCCACAAAACATTCCTCCTCCTCATCCCCCTCTTCCTCCTCCTCCTCTGCCTTTACTCCCTCAAACGGATTGTTACCTGGTAGAGAACTCTGTATTACACTTCTAGAGGCTGGACAGCTCTCTTTGTCTGTAGGGGTGTAATTACAGACAGTTTATCTACACAGTTGAGTAGAATAAGAAAAAACTATACGGAAAAAAAGCTGTTTCCAGGAATAACTCAGAAAGAAAGAAATTAGTGGCGCCTGTTACCTGTGGACTGGGTGCTGCCGGTGGATGTGCGGTCGGAGTCTCTACTTAGCCTGGAAACACCTGCTGTAATGATCTCCACACCGTCTCTCTCCCCACTGGCGCACAAGCAACATCTTATGTTAGTATCTTATGTTAGTTAGTACCATCTGATCAAATTATGAAGATAGAATAGCCACATACTCAGTCTGAGGTAATGGTATGACGCTGTGAGGTTTGACTTTCATGGCCTCGGCTCTCTGGGTGATTAGACCCTGCCACCTTGTATAAGGGGGAAAAAAAACAAGTTATTAGCTGGTTTAACAACTGGAGGAATAAAAATGTTATTAATCAGTCAAAAGTGATTTGGACTTACGTTCTTTGATCTGACACTGTGGGCGCCATCAGCTCATAGATCTGGGCTCCGTTGTCTGACATGGATAGGACGAAGAAGGACTTGTTGTCTGGCAGAAGAGAGTGTGGACAGAAGGGTTAGGGTGATATTAATCACATGCATTAAACCTGATACCTTATTCTGGGTTGTATGTCTGGATGTTGTTATCATGAGGGGTTCTTTTGTTAGTTTGTTTTGATCAGATCCTCCTTCATCCAGTTATTGTCCTGCCATTTTTTTGTAAAATGCAGAAAAACAGACAAGAGACTGGGTGTTAACTGACCCGTGGCCACAGAGCGCACTAGAACAGTGTTGAGTTTGATGATGGGGCTGAAGATATGTTTGGTATCTGCGGTGCCTGCCAGGTTTTTACTGTGACACTTCAGGATCAGACGCTCATCCTGTTTCTGCAGCAGAACCAGGATGTCCTCCAGGAGGAGTGTGTACAACTCTGAAAAGGAGACAGATAGGAGATTTGTTTTACTTGTCAAACATGAGTGCTGGTCTGCTGGAGTTTTTAGAAGAATCAAACTCTTTGAATGTGCTCAATACAAACCAATAGTCTTGTCCTTGTTCACTTTCCATGACAGCGGCCCCTCATGCACCATCGTTCTCTTAGTTAGATCCAAGTTCTAATGGAGGGAAAATACATTTAAGCTTTAAGTTCATGATACTGGTCCAGTTTTACATAGTACTACATTTTTACCTAACAGCACATGTGGGTGTACAACAAGAGTGTGCTTAAACTGAAGCTAAAAGGGTGGCGCAGATAATTCACCTTTAGCTCCAGGATCATGGGGTTGTCTGTCTGCTTTAGAGAAGAGAGGTCCAATCTTCTCTGATAGTCCTCCAACCTCTAGAGGAAGGATGGAGAGAAATAGAGACAGAGGGAAAGGGATAAGTAAGCGCTCTTTAAAAGGAAGCTACTGCCTGGGGAGCAAACGAGGTAGTGGAAAAATAAATTGTGGTAGAGCAGTAAAAAAAAAAAGAAAGAAAGAAAGGGCTTAGGATGAGACTGAAAGGGAGGAAGAGAAAAGTCTAGGGGATGGCATAAAATGGAAAGGAGATTTAAAAAAACATCACACCTGCTTGTCCTCAGATTCCTTCACAGCCTGGTTGACGTGATTGAGGATCTTTCTACAGCAGTCCGCTGCCTGCTTGACTTTGTCCTTCTCCACTGTGTTGTCTGAAACATATTATAACATCAAATAAGAAGAAAGGCCTCCTTAGTTCTGCAGGAGGGCTGTCCGGCAAATTGATATTTCCTCTGTCCATTAACGCGCCATTATTCTTTAAAATTATGATAAAGCAGGAAGGGCATTATTATCCCATAATAGCTGGTTATACGTTATCGTTAGTGCGTTCTCTCTGTGTGAGACCAAAACCCCAGCCAAGACTAAAATGATGGACCAAATAATGGGCGAGACATTTCCCAAAATGTGCACTACCGCTCCAGGACCATTAAAATGATAATCTCTCTCTCTGTAATTCACTAATGGTTGGCATGTTGCCACACAGAACCTTGCTAAAGACTTCATTTGGTTCGCTTTTATCGACTTTCTTCTATCCCAGGAGTTGATTTTTCATTTATCTATTGCATTACATTACATTCAGATTATAAAATACAAACTATGTATTATTCCTCTATTACATGTTTCTATGGATAGTCAAAACATTAGTAAATTAATTTCCATACTGAATTAATTACCTCATAGGATCTAAGTGATTTGAGGATCACTGGAGAGAAAAGCTGCATACAATAATTGAGCTCTAATCATGGAGGTCACATGCAAAGGTGGAGGGCAGGGCAGCCAGACTCTGAGCAAGAATTCGATACTTGTTAAGCTGACAACGACAACCATCAGACCAAATATGTTGTACTGGTGCAGCAAGCTATCCAGCTATCCAGCCAGTGTGGTTAAAACTGGACTGTAGACAGAAAAAAGAAAAAACACTATTCAGGTCAGGAGAGTCTAAAACTGTATGCAATAGTGAAGAGAATTCAGGATAATATGATAACTGTCATTTTTAAAAGTAGATCATCATTTCTCTTGCTTTGACAGAGTCAGTGATTGACTAAGTATTCGTGACTGAGTGGAACAGACTTGTCTAAATAAGACTGCAGCAGAGGGGTCCGTTTTTGTTTCTGCATGAACTGTAAGCGGTTTGTATGAATGCACAAAGCTGTTCTGTGGCTCTTCCTGCAGGCATGTTGACATCTTGACAGCTTTATGTGTGTCCAACGCCAGAACAAGTGGCCGGCGGGTGCTTCACTGTATGCTTTAATCACATCAAGTGTCATGCCAACTATGTTCTAATATAGAGCTGCAGCTATTAGTCCAACTCCAGAAAATGTGTGTGCTACAATTTAGATAATGGACGCTTATAAGCTTTTCAGATGTGAAGATTTGCTGGTTTCCCCACTTTGGACTTGGAAACTTATGATGGGAATCTTCTGACATTTTATATAATCAACAAATAATCAATTAACCATGAAAATAATCATCAGCTACAGCTATTCTATTATCATTCAATACAACTACTATCTACATGCTTATTTAAACATTTTGTTTTGGATCATTATTACATTCAAGACTATGCAACCAGTCAGCATTTGTGCACTAAAAGAACCTGATTACATCATGGACAAATCACTGCCAACTGTTGTGAAGAAACTCTAATTGGTAAGGCAACGCTACAGCACCTGTGTACTTGGCGATATTCTCTAGTAGCAGGGGGTACTTGGTGAGCCGCTGCATCTCTACGGGTATGATGTCCTTAAGCTGCAGACGGCGACACAGTCTATTACTCTCTGCCTCCTGCAAAGCAATAAAAAAAAAAATAAAAAAAAGATACAGTTTGGGTGAACTTAAGCGGTCACCAAACAGCCGAAATACATGTTGAAACAAGTATAAACAGTGACTGAGCAGCACTAAATGCAGCTTAGGTTCTTACTCAGAGAGGTCACATTTCAGCTGAATTCCCTGAATCAAACAGATTTAACTCCCCTGTTTGACACGTTTTGAGCTTCATCTAGTAATTTTCACTAAAATATTATTCATGTTGAGAGTAACAATTTTCTGCAACATGTGAGCATAATGTCAGTACCTGGATGAACGAAGTAAACCGCGAGTCCTTCTTCTGCTTGGTCTTGATGATCTCCAGAGCAAAAGGCTGGTTACTGCAGAACGTCCCCACCGCCTGCTTAATCTTCTCCTCCTCTCCACTGCTGAACTGTAACCGCGACACGACACCAAGACAGGACAGAGACGGCAATCAGCCACAGTTGAACTGGGTCAGGGGCAGTTGCCATGGAAATGCCTAGTATTTAACCACTACAATGAGCAGCAACTCTCAGAAGGGGGCCAGGCTTAAGTACTTGTAGCAGGGACTGCTTTAAGTTTGAATGTAGACTAGATCATTGCTTGGACCCTTAGGGGACCGTTTACCCTACTTATCCCCCATTGATACATTTAAGACAAGGCTGCCAGCTGATATGTGGCTACCTCACATTTAATCTATCACAAATGATATTGAGATGTGAAGACGTCAGCAAAATCTAGGGCACTGTCTGACATAACCCTTTCCTGAGAAACAGGCTTCCATTTCACTTCCACTCTGATTACATTTCTTGCTACTGAGGAGGTCAGAGCTGTTCTTTTGTCCAAAAGAATTATCCAAGGCTTTATCTTTCAGGATTTTGGTGTTTATGGTGATATAAGGAACGTTAAGTGTTAAATAAATGCTGATAACACCTTCTCTATTATATATATATAAGCTGTAACCATTTATATGTACATACGAAAAGTCAAAATAAACAGAACTGTGGGCTGAGGAAAGCAATCGCATGCCAACGTCAACATTTTTTACTTGCTATTAAGCTATTTCGGGCAACAGTGGTGCACAATACCCTTTTTTCCCTCCCTACCACATCAGTCATCTTGAAATGTATTCAATACCAGAAAATGTTTGAAAGAGGAAATACAATTTCAGCCTGAGAATTGTACTCACCCAGGAGAGCAAGTCGTCTCCTATCTGATCAATTACCGAAGACTCATTTCTCTTCCGAACGGCCACCATTTGCTCCAGTATTGAAACTGAAATTCAAAGCACCAATGGACAGTGAGTGTGTGTGTGTGTGTGTGTGTGTGTGTGTTCGTGTGTTCGTAAGATAACAAAGATGAAGAATACAACATGACAATATGAGGGTGCTGAGTTTGCACAGTTTAAGTTCTATATTTTAATCCTTCTGTTGTAGTTTAGTTTCACTTTAAACTCAACCTAATTCTCACTGCCTTATTTCTGAGGGTTTTTTCCCCTGCACTGTGTCTAGTGGCTTGAAGAGCAGTCATGCATAGATAACAATAGTTGTTTGGATTTCAGGATGTGAGTGTTTGTGTGTCTTGATAGTGTGTGTGTGTGTGTGTGTGTGTGTACCATGCAGCTGTACAATCTCCTCCAAGTTGGTGAAGATGTTCTTGATGTCAGCAGTAGGCAGGATGGCCTCTTTGGAGAGCTTCTGGTAGAAAACGTGGTCCAACACTTTCAGCATCCGCACATGTGCGCGCTCTGTGTAAAACAGCTCTGCAGACACAATGCAAGATGTTAATTCAAGATGGCAGATCATTTGTGCGGCTCAACATGATGTACATTTGACAGCAACTTGGGTTGGATCCCAAAAAAATGCTCTGCTGCTGCATATTCTCTCTCTTCTCCCTTCTACTCATTATATTCTGCAACTCAATTGCATATTTAAGCACCTCTTCTATTCTTTGAAAACAGATCTGACTTGAATGAATTGTTATTATTATGTGAAGTGGTAAGCTTTGTCCTCACCATTAATGACTTCCTGTCTCTTGATTTCCTGAGGCCTGAGACCCGCTAGGACCTCTCGCCCCACCAGCTGTTGCCAGTTTGGGGGGTCATGCTCAGAGTCTGTTCCCTGGTCGTCCTCACTCTGGACATCAGCCGCACCCAGTCCCTCAAGCCTAGGGAAAGACACAAAGTTAGCTTTTTACCTGGCTATTAAAAAAATCACCATTGCGTATCACCCGTACTTATTTTTCTTTTAGATGGATTTAAAGTTAGAAAAGTCACTATGATCTGGTATCATCACCTTCTTATGGCCTTTGGTGTTCCCTCATGGGCTCTAAAGAAATATCAATGTTAAAAATAAAAACACAGTAAGGAATCAAAAGTGGTACTGCAAATGTGACTGTAAATGCACCTGTCGCTTTCTCTGTCATCCTCTTGGAGTTGGTCCAGGCTGTCAAAGTGCGAAGAAGGATACAGCAGCCCGTCCAAAGGGTCGGACTGAAGGCCGTCACTTAACCTGGAGGGGCCCGAAGTCGGAGTTCCACCTGAGAGACAACTAACAAGTTAGAAACCATCGCTTCCGCCGTCTTTTTCTACTACTGATGTGTTCAATTCAAGTCGTTCAGAAGTTTACCCATATCAGTGTCTCGGCTGGTGTCTGAGTTAAAGGTGCCGCTGTTTGGGGATGAGGTGCTGACAGACGTGGAGTGTATGAGTTCAGAGCCCTCGCTGGACTGGCTGCCTCTTAGGCGGCCAGCTTCCATGTGATCACTTGACCCCAGTGTGGGCTGAGACAACTGTTTCTGAGGCCGGGGGCGACCATCCAAGGCCTTACCCACTGAATACAGAGAAAGGTTGCGTCAAAATTAGACAAAGCTGTATAAGTAGTGTCGTAATTTTGTCTCCTTCAAAAGTCCTAACTCACCTGATGCTGCTTCAATGCGGCTGGGCCGACGCTGAGGTCCAAGGATACTGGGAAATCTGGGTTTCTTCACCTTCTCTTCCCCTTCCTTTTCTGTCTTGATGCTTTTCTGTATTTTATTAAAAACAAGGTAAGTGTCAGGTAGATGATAACGGGAGAGGGGAGAAGGGCCAAGGCGCAAAGAGTAATGTTAAGTACCTTGATCTTGGGAAGAAAGTTGATCCTGACCCGTTTGGACTCCAGGCTGCGAGGTTCCTTGACCCTCACACCAAGGTGCTTCATGTATGTATAAATGACATACTGCATTGTAGTGCTAAATGAAAACAAGTGTGACAACGCTTGAGAATGGTTTCTGAATTCCAACCAACAACAAAACAGTGCTAAAATTTGAAGAGAACAAGTGTCCATATTGTGACTTGTACCATATGTCACACCAGTCCTCCTGGTACAATTTCTACACAAACCATCTGGGGTGTGCTGCTACCATATGGCATTTCAAACAAGACAGTTTAATCAGTCACACGTTTGAATTATTTAATATAAACATACTGCATAAATTACATGTTATCTTTAAGAGACTGCCCGGGTGCTTCATTTTTACAGTAGAATGGCGCTTGGATGACACCAATATGTTATGTCTGCTTAATGGAAACATCAAAGACTATACTTCAAAGATGAAAAATTACTACCTCTGACAGATTGGATTGGCTATCGACGATTGAAAGGATGATCAGCAATTGTTTCTTCATGCGCAGATATTAAGGCGATTTTAACTAACTCACTATCAGAACTAAGATGACATAAAAAGTCTCTAGAATCTGCACCACACTGCAGTGTTTCCCATTCACTGATTTATTTGTGGCAACACGACACACCTCAATTATCAACGCTGACCGCCACAAAAACTAATAAATAGGAGTAAAATTCATTGTGATAATAATTCATTGTGGAGCTGCCCGCAGCGCATAGATTCACTCATCACCTCCGCTTGCTCTCTCTCTCCCTCTCTCTCTCACAAATGGAAACAGAGCTGTGTTTTTACAGAAAAACTAAAGCATTCAAGTAAACTCTATGAATTTAGTAAACTCTATCAATTTAGTAAGCAAGCTAGTAAGGAGCCTAGCTAATAAGTAACATTAAAGCTATGTAAACATTAGAATACAGCTGGGTTGTCGAGGTTAGCACGCTGTAGCCTACACAGCTGCTGTTCAGTATCGATTGTAGCGTCCACCCGTGCGCGGTGCCAGAGTTACATGGTAATTCTGTGGGAAACACTGTACTGTGGATTTACAGATGTTTCTGGCATGCAGTCTATGGTTTCTGGTGGTTTCTCGTAAAGCTAATAAGCCCTTTGATTCCATGCTGGCTTTTCACTGGGATCCTGCATTAGACGATATGAAAATAGAGAAGAACACCCAAACCTAATTTAAATGAGTCAAACGTCACAAAAAATAAGCTGTGACAATTCATTTAGATTATTTTGAGACGCATTACAGACAGTAAATGCAATTATGGCTGGAGAGGCTATGAGAGTCCATCCATCGTCAACCGCTTATCCTGCATATAGGGTTGCGGGGGGGCTAGAACCAATCCCAGCTGATATCGGGCGAAAGGCGGGGTACACCCTGGACAGGTCGCCAGTCCATCGCAGGGCCACACATAGACAAACAACCAGTCCGTCTATAAGCACCCGGAGAGAACCCACGCAGACACAGGGAGAACACGCAAACTCCACACAGGAAGGCCGGGGCAAAAATTATTATTTATATCAATCAACCAACCAAATGCTCTGCAAAAGGTTTTCTTACCATTTCTCTTCCTCTGTGGTCTGAGTAGTTAACCTATAAACAATACAAAGAAGAAATTCTGTCTGAGTGGCTAATTTTTGCATTTGTAAGTATGTGTGCATCCAACCAGCGTATGTCCGTATACATGGCTTATTCTACTTACAAGATATCCTCTATTTTGGTGACAATGTTTTCAGCATACGAGCGCTCTCGCTCCAGAGTGACACGGTCTCTGACTCTCTCTTGGTCCAGTCTGGCCAACTCTACTTCAGCCACTGTTAGGCCCATGCTGCGCTTCTGCCTACATGTACCAACACATTAAGTCATATACAGTGGTTAGGTTGATAATGCCCCAGCCAAAAATGGCTAAACAGAAGGGCGTGCACTTAACCTGATACTATGTTTTTGTTTTGTTTTTGTTATTTGCTTTATGTGAGAACTGACCAAATTGTTAAGTTGGCTCAGTTACCTGAAATCCTCAAGGTTCTTCTGGATGTCGGGGAGCAGAGAGTCTTGCAGTGTTTGAACATGTTGTCTGTTTATTTCCTCTGGGATTAGTTCTGTCCGCCGCCGGTCTGCAAACACATGCACACACTCACGTATACTGTAAGCCAAGTCACTCAAGGGATTATGGCAAATGCAGGCTAAATATGCACTGGTCAGATGATACTTTCCAAATCATTGGAGCATTTGATTTCTTAACACCTTAGTCGGTAGTGTGCATGGCTGAGCAAAGTGATCAACTTGCAGGGACTGTATAATGACACTGGGCAGACAACCGAATGAAGCAAAAAGGACAGCATGAAATACTTACCGAGATCAGCAGAGATGGAATCAGGAACAGCAACCTTTAAATTCTGTTAAAAAAACAAACAAAACTGTTTCATACTTACAAACTGGCACAACAAAGAAATGAGGGACTATACTAAAGTCCAGTAAACACTTTTTTCAAATGATATTAAATGTCAATGTATAGATCATAAACTACCTATGAATGATGTAATTGCCAATCTGTATATTGTATCACCTTATTCTAACCAATAAATATGACTTGGGAAATTTGGTGTTAACTGTGCAGGAATGAGATGTTGTGTAAAAAGAAGTCTCATCATTGGTGTTTCAGATTGGAGATTGTACAGGATTATGTCTGACCTGTAGTGTTTCCCATATTTTACTGTGGCGAACAAAAAATGTACTTACTGCTCCCCGGTCAATGAAAAAGTTGTGGAGGTCCATGAACACCCGTCTGGTCTCTTTGGAGTTTGTATGCTTGTAGAGGTCAGCATAGAGGTAGCACAGCTGAGGAAATAAGATTAGGATTAATTAAAAAAACCCATTGAGATGTTGTGTCTGCCAGGCTGCATAATTTAAGTAAATTAATACATGTAAGATTTACACAAGATGTGAAGGAAGAGGGTCTTACCACAGGAGCAGGGTCGAACTGAGAGATGACATGGTGAAGGAAGGCTGCGAGGTGGGCTGGGCGAGACTTGAGCTGCTCAATACTGTTAAAACTGTTAGACTGGCCATTTGTCTGAAAGCAAAAATCACACTTTGCAGTCTTGTCAACTGTATGGACATGTGACATGAGTTTAATAATATTATTGAAACCTTGCTTACAATGAAAAGCTTATAATTACAGCACAGTCACACCTTTTAAAAATATATTGAATATACCAGCTGTGTTGAGTGAGACTAAGATTGCCCTGTGGTAAAATACCTGCTCCTGGTCTGAATCAAAATAATCGTCCTCAGCTCCAATGATTTGCGAGACGAGGCGGGAGGAGGATGGACTGCTGACACTGGTAGGGGACAGAGTGTCCTGGGGGAAAAAAAGCGGTACATTGTGGAATTCTCATTTATAACCCAACTGATCTGGAGTATACCTTCACAGACAGGATTATTCATCAATACATAAAAAAACATGCAATATTTATTAATGAAACACACTTCAAAAATGCATGTCCTTCCCAAGTTAACACCGGGAAAGGAATAAGTACATTTTTTAAGCAGAATTATCACATGTCAAAAGAGTATAGCTACCAGGTCAGTGGCATCCTCTGCCTCTGGAGAGTGGCAGGAGTTTAGGCTGTTCCTGGGTGTGCTCTTTGGGCTTGGGTAGGATGACTCTCTTGGCCACAGGCTGTCAGGAGATCCAGGCCCAAATACACGAGATATCTGTTGGTGGCATGGAACAAAACATTACGTTCTGAATCAATCTTAATTTAAAAAAAGAAATCCCCAAAAACCTCAATACCTGTTCCCAAATAATGTATGTTTTTAGTTCTCAAACGTGACCATACAGTAATTTGAATGCAGAATCAATATATATACTTTTCATGTCTGCACTGGTATTGTCTAGATCTAAAGAAGCCAAAGCTGAGCATGATGCCATGAATCTATTGTCCTAAAGCTTCCCTAGTCTTGGAATCCAGGAAGAATCATATGAAGTTCAGAGGGAAATATTTATTATGTTGGTTAGCAGTGCTGATAGGTGATGACTTACAGGAGTGCTGCTCCAGGACAGGTCTGTACTGTTGTCTCCCTTTGAGGTGGGAGTGTGCTCTGTTTCAAACATGCCACCATCATCTGCATCACCACCTGGAACAGCCTCCTACGAATTCATGTAAACACAAGATTAGTTACTAATTATGAACAACCTTATCACATAACAACAAGAAAGTCCATAACTAAACAACATAAGCAAAAAAAGGCTAACGCTAACAGGCTACATTGGTTTTATTTTAATAAATGTATTGAATTCATGACTCTTTTAAAAGTGTGTTCTCATAAAATATAACTTTTAAAATTGAGAGAGCAGACCAATATGTTGACACACATAACACAGTGTTCCGCCAGTGAGGTATATAAAATAAGCTGTCACACAGACACAAAAGAGTGGCTTCCCGCAGACAAAGCCTAATCCTCTGATAAGATTAGGATTATTGTTTGTCTGAAGCAATCCCTAAACGCACGACACAAAATTATACAAAGGCTGCTTGGATGTGGCTGGTAGATCAGTGTCCCTAGATACCCTATTCTGTATGCAAGTAAACGGGGGTAGTTAGTTAGATCGTTAAAGGGGGTTATTTGCTTTACCTGTGTTGCCCCAGTGGCCCTAAAGAGCTGACCCTGCAGCTGAGGAATGTGTTTCGTAGCTTCCTGGATGTCTTTCAGTAGTTTGGGGGAGGGGTTCCTGCTGTACTCCTCCTTCATAGCCTATACAGCAAGAGGGGGTGAAATCACAACAAGCAATCAGGACCAGTAGTATCCTATTGTTTGTATACAATCACGTAAGTAAAATATGTCATACGTGGACTGGAATGAAGCACATAGTGTTTAGGAAAAGATCAGAAAAGATCAGTGCATAAAAAACAGCAGCCTCATCAAGTGTACACACTACCTGCCACTACCAAAAAGTGATCTATTTAAAGATGGATGAGAGCTGATCCTCAACACAGATAATAACTTCGCTATTGCCAACATCTACCACCGAAAAAAAAGAGAGAAGACAGTAAGTGGAAGTGATTGTTCTGCTAACCTGCAGATCCTGCTGCTCTCTTGAGAGCATCTTTTGCAAGAGGTCAACCTTCTGGTTGCACATGCTGCTATTGTCATCCTGTGGGGAAAAAACAAAAACGGAAGTTAAAAAGCATCTGGAACTGTGCTTTAGACTACAGGTATGATGCATTTAAACAAATATTAGGTGTATGTAATTCAGTTTCATTTATTTAAGCAAATTTAAGCACACATTTGTAAGAAAGACATAGAAAAGCCACCACAAAAATGTGCATATTTAGAAGAGAAAGATCTAAATAACCCAGGTGAAAATGTTCATTATGATGAGGAAGGAGGATGAAAAAAGACAACAAGTTTGTGAAGGTAAAAAATAGAAAGAGGACATCAGAAGTAGTTGATGTCTATAGTACCCATGGTGATTGAGTGTTGGAGAGGCAGTGCTGAGGACTGTAGGGGCGTTCTATTGCTGGGGAGTTTGGGGAGGAAATGCTAACGCCCAACATTTCAGACTCTGCTTCAGACAAAGGGATCTGGGCGAGCCCTGGGGGACGCCCCAACACTGTGAGGGCCACATAGGACCCCGCTAGAATGGGGGAAAAAATCAATGCAAAATGTCAGTTTTAATTTAAGGTTCATCTTTAAAAAATGTGGCTTTTCCTTGAACACAGACAGAGGAACTTACATTTGATAAGCTTCACCACCTCAATGTGATTAGAATGTGTAACAAGGGTCCCGTTAACCTGGAAGACAGCAATGGTGCTATGATGAGAATTTAAAAAAACAGATGCAAAGTCCAACACCTCCCATTCTAGGCCCGGTTTTACAATTTGACATCTCATTCCCCAGACACAACATGAAGAGAGCTGAAATACTGACTGACCAGCAGGTGGCAGCCTACAGCCTCTGTATTGGCCTTGGACAAGAAAACAGCGTTCTTAGCAGTTTAAAGTTAGGGAGGCAGATGAACACAATACCTTGATGATCCTGTCTCCTGTCTGAACACCTGCCCGCATAGCAGCCCCATCTGGCAAACACAGAGGAAAAAAAGGGCATTAAAACAACAGAAGACTTGGGAAAAGAAACTGAACAAATGGAAGAATGAAATGGAAAGGGGGAATGCACAAAGGACCTATGGGTTCATGGTGTAATTGTTGATATTTCTGCACAATGAATACACCATACGGCGTTGACAGACCCGGTGTTGCAAAGTGACTATTTGAGTGCTATTTTGAAAGACCATAACAGTGGTTATATTACGAGATGGACCTGTTTCGCAGCTCCACCCCAAACAAAGGGATTTAGGCATGAGACAGGTAATTATGAGATCCACGTCTGACTCTATAGTCAGCAGCATACAGCTTAAGTAAACCAAATACAGTTTTACTAATACACTACTTATGATGTGCATTTTCAGTCTCCAGCTTTGTAATAGTATGGATATTTTAAGTACTATAACTGAACTTAACACTTGTCTGATCAGTTAGTCTAAAAGTAGAAGGACAGGCGTGACTAAATAATTTTGTCAATATGTAATAAGATATTTGGATTCATTTATTTCAGATTAACATAACATCCGAGTTTTACCACAAGCACTTTAGTTAGACTTCATCTTACAAGTATGAATGGGAAAAGCAGCAGCATGATACTACAGATACATTTTGCTTGCCTCTCAGTTCACAATAAAATGAAAAATAAGTCATATAAATTATTCAGATGAAATTAAGTAGATTGCATTTCCTGTTGAGTTAGTAACAAAAGCACAAATGGGGAGCCATACAGGGATAGTTAAACACTGACAAGCTCTGATGACAGTGCAACAAAAGTCCTCCAATTAGTTCCTTCCTTTTCTGTCTTTCTTCACTACTGTACAGACCATGTAATGTTTTCTGTGAGGTGATAACAGCTCACACTTCATGCAGACAGTGAAAGATTGCCTGGGTACACATAAGTATCCTAAGTCAAAGTCCCTTCTTTAAAAGACAACATGATAAAGCAGAAGCTGCAGCTACTGTGAAACTACTGAGGGTGAAATATACAGTCAGTGGATTCACTGCTCTAAGTAAATGCCAGAGTGGTGGTTGTCGAGTCCCAATTACCCCTCATATGTGTGAGTTCAGAGCAAACTACCGTGACAGTCTGATGTCAGTGAATGGAAAAGGAGCCCTATCTCTAACTCTATTAGAATTGCTTAGACCTTAGAAGTAGCCATTGTAAAAACATCTTCCTTTCAAGTTTGAGACTCGTCCTTACCTTCTTTGACAAGCTGCACAAACACTGGGTTGTCACCACTGACAGTGAGCCCAAAGCCATTTTCATCTTTCTGGATTATTACACATCGCTGGACCAGACCTGCAAGTGAAACAGACAGGATAAAAATACATAACAGTTTCTTTAAAAGGACTAGGAAGTCACTAAAGGAAATGTACTTCACTCACTTGAACTTGAAACCTTCTGAAAAGTAAAACTTATGCAACTTAAACTTTAGCATTTAGTACAAGGGTGAGGCCCTTGTACTAAAAGCTAAACAAGTATTTTGCACATTATAAACATTCCTTTTTACACTTAATTGTTTTCCTGATACTGAATTTGTTGGGCAAAAACATTCGCCAAAGGATAAGGGAACACACTCCAGATTTAAGGGACAAGTTCATATTTTGTCCACATTCAAAATAATGATTGATCTCTGTATTTGTTCCCTCTGTCCATACTGACTATGAAGAGACTTTGCCTCCCCATCACAAACACTGAAAATGAAACAAAAGAAGGGCCCTCTTTGCTGTCAGTATGGACAAGAGAAAAATTACAGCTAGTAATAATGCTCTCAATGTACAGTACATATGGACATGTGAGTTTGGTTTTAAGACACACAGAAACTATCCTCTAACATAGCTCCAGTAGTCTAAGACTCTGTTGTCAGGATAACATGACAACATCCCATAATCTGAGCGTGTACAGTTAAGAAAGCTTGTGCTCAGCTAATAAACATTCAAAGAACAAAAAGTATTAAAGGGGGATTTTATGAAGTTTTGACATTTTTTCATTTTAAGTGTTACACTGTCAATAACCTCATTTGGTGACTAGACAACAAAAGAAGAAGAATCCTCTTTGAATGTTCAACTTTTTATGTTACTTCCGTGTGAGATGAAGTTTAAAACAGATCTGACACCCAGACATTTCTGGTTGTAGTCTCAAAGACCAGAAGAAGGAATGTTACTTTTCAGGTTTTTTTACGCAGTGTTTCGTTAGGAAGAAGAGATCAGAGCTTATCTTATGTCTGGCCGACACTGACGAGACTGACAGGACAGTTCAAACAAAGGTAAACATAATGCAAAGAATGCAAAATGCTCAAATAGAAATAATCTCATATCACGAACAAGAAGTTAGCTATCTAACATTGCTATAGAGCATATTACGACGGCATATTGGGGCCGCTGTTGGTCAAAAAAAATTATGTATTACTCTGAAAAAAAAAACCCTTAAATTTATGAGAAAAACACTTGGCTAATCTCTGGGACTAAAGTGGTAAATTTATAAGAAAAGAACTAGTCATTACTAGTACAAGACGAGTCACTGCAGACATGGGAGAAGAGGTGGAGCTTTCAGACAGGCTACAATGGCCCTAATACGCCGTCCTTGTGCTGTGAACCTTAAACAGTTTTCTTGTTGTTATTTCCTGGTCAGTGCAGCATCAACAAGAGAGGTAAGTCGATCGATAAGGGCAGTGGTGGGGTGGGGGTTGGAGAGTGGAAGGAGCAGGAGTTTGGACATGGAGAGCGGTTAGAGGAGGCAAAAGCCCCAGGCTGGGGGGTGGGGGGTGGAGAGAGGGTCAGGTTGAGCTGAGGGAGCAGGGGGAAGGGAAAAAGGGAGAGGGCAGGGGTGTCTACGAAACAGATGAAGCCATATGGTTTAAAGAGCTGGTGCGAATTTGCCTCTAGATGTTGATCTTTTGCCTGTGTTCTATGCTTAACAGTATTTCAGAGATCTTTGGTGGGTGTTAAACCGTGAGGAGTGGGAGTGCTGACATGATCACTCATCAGGTTAATCCATCTAAGCTAATGTTTTATTCAGAGGTTTAACTGATCCGTAAACGGCACCCTTTGCTGAAACACAAGCAAATGTACTCCAGAGAATAAACTGACCTTTAAAACTGACGGCGTACTTTTAGCCCCACAGTCACAAAAAGACGGAACCCAAGTCATTAAAACACTACATACAAAAGGTCAGACGACGTTTCGACTATCTAAATGTTTGACCAATCGGAAATTCAAATGCTGTTCTGTGATAAAGGTGTTTCCTCTGTGGATTTCTACCGTGAAATTGGTGCACGACCAGATACAACGGTGGCGGAACTGATTCAAACAGAAAGGACGCACCTATGATTTCTTGACTTTGATAGCAGAGGATTATCTTGACTAGACATCTGCAGAATCTGGCATTTCTGACAGCTGCCTTGAGAGTTTGTTTTGCCAGCCTGCTGCACCTGAGTCCACTAGAAGTCCTTTTGTTGGAAATCTCAACTTACTCAATATTTTCTGTCTCCGTCTAAAGAGAGAATTTGATAAACGGTCTCCCAGATGATGTAAGAGAGAGCATCTGAACAGGGTTATGACAACACTCTCATACCATCAGTCTAAGTTTTAGGAGCGGCAACTATGGAGGAAAGGACATGCAAGCTGAAAGAACAGAAAGGCCCTGCCCCAGCAGGATCTTCTTGGTGTGAGGCTAATCACTTAGCCATCATGCTGCTAACCCTGCTAACATGTGGATTCAGAAATATGTCACTAAACCCTTGTAAGTCTGTGTAGGCCTGTAAATAATATGTTCTGCGTGCGCTTTGTTTTAATCACATTTAGATTATCACAACTGAAAATTTACATCAATATTAGGACCTGACTCAAGAGTGGGATTATGGCTTAAAGTGAACTGTGCAACTGCATCCTAGTAATCTTAAATCGTTTAAGTAGTACTGAGCAGATCTGCTAAGGCCTTCTACAAGTGATTCCAATACTGCCCATTTTTCATGATGGAAAAAGTTACTCAAATGTCCATGTATCCATGGAAGTGGTGTATTTAGCTATTTAGAATTTACCGAGTATTCAAATGGACAGCGGAAAAGAAATTGTGTCTTCTGAAAGTATTAAAAGCCAAATATCTCACAACCTGGCAAAGTTATCACGGCTGTACTGATCAACAAGGGCACAGAGCCAACATTTGGTGATTGGAAAGAGGAAGACCGATTACACATAATCATGAGAAATATGCTTTACGCTGTCATCCTATCTAGAGAATGATGATAACAAACTTGGCAACAGCGCTACTTTGAGCACTATGCACTGCTCAGACACTTTGCTGCTGCAGAGATAGAATTATATGAAACATAATCCCATTTACCACTGACATTTCAAAGTAGAGCTGAAATTATTTACATTTTTCAAGGTCCCAAGGTCAAAGGTCCCACTTTGCTTGAACACAGCTTTGGATTTCGCATTCATCAGTTTTGTGTGTGATGGCCCTTATAAACTATTTTCTGATCTTTAGACCAAATAATCTGCATTAAATCGACAATATTAGTCACAGCCCTATGTTGCATAAAGAAAATGTCTCTCAGTTTTCAGAAATAGTTTGATCATTTATTTAAATCAAGTGCAATCCTTTTTCTTCAGTGTGAATTTAACTGTTACGTTTACAAAGCAGGTAAAATCATGCGTTGATATGCGCTGCTTAAAACAAACATCCAGTGGCAATTTCACACCAGGTATCTGCAGCATGTTTAGATGCAGCTGTCACACCAGCCATTCCACCAAGAGCATCTTACCACAGGACTCAGGCTTCCCCTCTGTTAGCACACTGCTGCTGCCACTCTTCTGCACCAACAGAGCTTCTGCTCACAGCCCCCACCACGCAGACAGCACAGCAGCAAACACATACACACACACACGCACGCACAAAAAAGAACCAACACAGGGAAAGGAAACACAAAACAGGAAAGAGAAAATCATGAGGGAGAAACAATTATGGGCGAAGAGAAATTAAATGAACAAATAGCTAGTTTAATAAAACACAATGGTTTGGATAGGCAGGAGAGCAGTCACTGAAAATTAACTAGCTTGTTGTTTTGTTGTTGTTAAAAGTACTCTTTTTAAAATAGGTGTCACTCTACCAATTTATTGTGACTTCAATGACATGGGTCCCATTTTTCCAAACTTTACTGCATTAAAATCATAATCTTAAGTGATTTAAATGCATATTAGATTTTAAAATGCAGCAGAACCTAAATGAAATAAACCCTATTTGTGGGCCATAATGCTTCAATAGCCTTACCAAACTGGAACTTAGCTCCCATATAAGGAATCCAGTATACAGCTGGTGACAGCTGGTATACGGTGGTTTTATAAGTTGTGGCAAAAAAGCTGCTGACATAAATAAATCCAAAACAAAGTAAGTAGTTTTTTTAAAATTAATCATTTAATAATTAAAAGATAATAAATAACTTAATTACTGCAAACACTGACAACATGTGAATGTCATGAGCCAGTGTTGACATCCATTTCCAGAGTCTCTCACTACTCCTGCCCATCCCTAATAAACCCAAACCACTTTGAAATTATAACAGAAAAGATGCAACTAGAAGAAAAATCTGGGGAAAGATTGTTAAAGAGTCCATACAACTTGCAGATAACTAAAAGGCATAGACAGAAACATAGACTAATAACATGCAGGCATGCAAAAGGTCATGACATAAATTCAAATTTGAATCATGTCCAGAAACAATAATCTAAGGAGGACCTAAAGGTGTAGCTTTTCAATTAAATATAGAATAATTTGCTTCTCTATGGCTTTTTTAATCATTGCATCCAACCATGGACCAAACCATGAGAGAAATACGTGGAAAAAGATTAGTGTGCTGCTACACACAGGCAGGCAACAAAGTGCACCGTCTTGTGTAACCTCTGAGAGGACACATTGGGTCTATATTTTGTTGCATCATACAGAGATAAGCTCCACCATGTGGTGCAGAGGATTCTGTTTTGTTTTGAATACAGAGGCTTCAATCATATTTCAATCCTGCCCTGATTGCTGACAATCACCACAGGGAATGTCAACATCTTACACCAGTATGTTTCTGAACCCTTAACAACCTCACCCTGCAATAAACTTGAAACTGTAGTGCAAAACAGGCTTAGTAGCTTTTGTGTCCTTCAAGTTATGCATTGAGACCACCCAACCACTTAGAGCACACAAAATCCACAGTGCACTGATTTATGTAAAACTACAAGAACCAAATGGACATTATAAATGCAGCTGCGGATTTTAAGGTCCTATAATCAAACCTTTCCGTGCTTATCGGCTTAAAGCGTGCAACATGTAATGCAACATACGCTTCTGCCAACAGTTGGTATTTGTCAGGGTAACGCAGGCTTAGCCAATAAAGACATATTATACCGTCCATTAGTTGAATTAACTCAAAAAGAAAGAAACATCCTGCTCAAAATAGGCTCCGATGATGACACCCAAAAATTTTTCTCAGATCAGTTCGCACAAGCAAAATGAATGAAGAATATTCAAAGAGAGTAAAGAATGGAGCGAGATACCCTCACCACCTTTCACCATCCCAGCATGCCTTGTGCATCGAGAAAACCATCATCAGAACAACTGTTATGAGACTGTGTTTGTGTGTGTGTTAGAGGGAGAGAGAAAGAAATGCATGAGATGGACAGACAGAAACATGTGAGGCAGTCGGATAAAGTGAAGCAGATAGAGACAGAGGGAAAAGATGGAATAAGGATGTGGCAGAGAATAAAAAAAGACTGAATAAGAGAAACAGAACAGGGGCCGTATTACAGAAATTTACTATTTAGGGATCCAAGCAGCGAAACTATTGGAGCCCTATTGGTTTTGTTCTCATTATTCTTCTTCTTTCTTCTTTTTCTCTGCTAAAAGTGTTTGGGCAGCAAAAACCGCTGGACGGAAACTCACCAAAATTTGCACGTAGGTTGTAAATAGCCCTCATAGACGTCATGGTGGCGCTTTAACAATCAACTTTGCGTTTTTGCAATTATCTAGAAAAAGCCTTTGTTTACAGTCGAACTTTTTTCATTATTTTAATCTCTGGATTCATCTGCATCTTTGCTCCAATGGTCTTCTTCTCTAAAAATGTCAAATTAAACGACTTTTTATCACTTCTCTAAAACCTATTTTTGCAAACTCGTCCCAGACGGTTTCGCCAATCGACCTGAAACTTTGGCAGGATCATCTATGGATGTCGCTGATCAAAAGAATTTTGATACGTCAATCTGTTTTTTTTCCATGATTTTTTACTTTTGTGTATTTACGTACAATTTCACATAAATTCCCGTAAATCAAAATTGGCTTAAGCTATTGTCACCAAACTTGACGCGTCTGCTCAGATGCTCGGCCCAAGCTTCACTGAGCAGTCCTGGGATATTCTTCCACTAGGAGGTGCTAGCTACACTTGCAAAAAGTTTATACCTTGTAATTCACTGGATGGATTCGTACGAAATTCGGTTTGTACGATCTTGGCTCACTACTCAGTTGATGTATAAAATTAGGTAATGATTGTGCAAAGTGGGCGTGGCTTATTACAAGAAATGTACATTTCTCAACTTCAAAAAATCTAAGAAAATCATCCGTACGTCCTAGAGAGCTGAGATTTTTTCAGCTCATCCACTGATATACTGTATGACTAACATCTGCCTCACTGCAACCTATGGTCAATTCAGAAGTCAGTCACTCTATATTTTTCAGAATATGCTAAATCAATTAACATCTATATCTCCACAAGTCTTTCTTCAAACGCTACCAAACTTGACAGAGTCGTTCTCCAGATGGCCGATATCAAGTGTATCAAAGGGTTTTCAGATCGGTCAAACGGTGAGTCTGCAGTGGTATTCAGTATCTTGTCATAACTTGTACAGTATGAACAACATTTTCTGTTTAAATCAGTTTTGGATCAAATGCCAACAAAATAATTAACAACATACCCAAAACTGGCAGAATGATAAGTGATTTTTTTCAGAATTTTCTCACCAACATCTTGACAGTTGTAAGCGTTTGAAGTTTTAACTGACAAAACTATCAGGGGCTGGCACATGTGACGTCACTACCTCCACTTGTGAGAAGGTGTGTGGAAGCAGCCTCTCACCAGTAGCTCAGTCAGTAAGTCACCTACTCTGGAGATCTGAAGGTCCAGGTGGCCGAGGCAGACTTGCTGACAATGGGGGAGTTCAGATCATTGTAGTTCTCTATTATATTTCGATCCTGTGACACTTTAGTCTTATTTTTCTCCGCTTAAAAGTGTGCAGCTTAAACTTTAAATCTTGGAAACACAAAAAGTCGCAGGTGGGTTGCACATTTCACCCAGTAGTCAACATATAATGACCCTCTCTGATTTTAAGGTGATGCTGAAAAAAATCAAGTTTGTTTCCACAATTATATCAAAGTCCAAACTCTTTCATCACTTTAATTTCTTAAGTTGTCTGAGTCTGTTCTTCTCCTCTGAAAATTTCAAATGTTGCGTTTTTTCAAGACTTGCTTGGATCCCAATCATTGCCGCTCGCGGCTATATTTTAAGTTTTAAGATAGGAAGAGTCTAAGGAAATCCTAGGAAATCCTAAATACTCAATCCAACATCGCTTATCAACTTTTATGTCTGTTACCTAGTAAGCAATGCTACTTTTCTCATCTGGCTGAGCTAAACAGCACTGCAACCATTTTGTTTAAATTTAATATTAAAACATACTGAAACATACATTGAAAAATGAAAAACGGTTATTGATCTTCAAGACAGACGAGTCAGAGGTGTTGGTAACCTCTGTCGAGAAATCAAAATTTACATCAATGCTAACTTGGGGCTAACTCGGGAGATAAAGAAAGAGAGTGGACTAAAGCTGCATCTCCACCAAAGGTACATCTCTTTTCAAGGAATTAAAAAGTTCCTTCAGCCCATGACTGATGCGTAACTCCATCAGCTGTTTGCTGTAAACACACCACTGCGCGCTGGCTGCTGTTTCCGAGCAAAACATTTAATGCCGACGATCTCATGCGACATCGGCGAGACTTGTATGTGCTATCTGAATGTTGATTGTGATTTATTGGTTTGCAAACGCTGGAAAAGAGAGGAGCAGCCAACATGCTCGATTTATAGCCACTGGCCTCTACTCGCCCCTTCCAGAAATTCACTGCAAGGCAAGCCCCACCTCCCCAAGGTACTGGTACTTCCCTGAGCGGGGACTTTTTGGGGGTAAAATAAAGGCCCTAGAACTAAATTTAGATCCTGGTCCCTTCGGTGGAAACGCAGTGAATTCCTCCAAAGGTTCCTAGTTCTGGGGTAGAGTTCCTTTGGTCGAAACACGGCTAAAGATAGCAGACATAGTCTCTGCTATCTTTGCTCTGATACATTTTGTAGCGTTACATAGCATACAGCTTCAGTCATTAAATCTAAGCCCATACCGTTTGGATCTGCCATAAGCCTCTCAATGAATAAGTTAAGCCTGCTGACATTTTTTCGATTTTGTAAAAGCAATAAAAGGAGCAGCTATATATATTAAAGAATTAAGTGGACATTACCTGGTGAAAAAGTGAAAGTTAGGACAGCTTAAGCGTTATCCTAAAGTTAGGAAGTTATGATGCTTGTGTAATACACGTTTCCTATCTTAAGTTAAAATAGAAACATTGACTTAGGAACTGTTCATCTGTAATGAATTTCTTTCCTAAAACAGGCCCTAACCCTAATTACCATGGTTACAAAACAGTCAAGATAGGATCTGTAAGTGAGGAAGTTTCTGTAATAGGGCCCCAGGAGAATCCGCCTGAAAACGAAAGTGGGAAGTTACCTGTAGGGTCAAACTCATTGGAGGGAAAGGAGGTTTTGTCACTTTTGGTTTTCTTGTCTGGGGGGTGGTCTTTACTGAGAATGCTGCTGGTTCTAGAGAAAGAGGAAAACCCGTGAGAAATAGATTATCCCACCACAAACAAGTGGTTAAATAGTGCAAAACATTAACATTTATCCAGTATGTGCTGACACATACAACACTGTGGTCTTTTATACGTAGCATTTTTTACAGGCACTGTCATTGTGTCTTTCTGTACTACTACTTAGGGCTGGGTATCGTTCAAAGATTTTTGATATCAATAAGATACCTCGACTTTGATACCGGTTCCTGAACGATACTTTTCAATACCAATTTTATTCTCAACAAACGGAGAACCATTGTTGTTTGTATAAAGTAACTTAATTATCACATTATTATCATTAATACTTTATTTTAATAATTGTTCCTTTGAAAAATGCTACTGCTTGTCAAAACCAAGACATATTTTCAATTTAACATAGGCCTATATTGTGTTTTTGTTGTTTTTATTCCGCTTTCTTTTGTTTTTATAATGCCATTTCATTGTTTATTAATTATATATTTTTAATTGTTTATATGTGAATTTGTGCTCTGGCAACATTGCAACCTAAACATTCATGGCAATAGGCCTGAGAGAAAGAGAGAGAAATCTCTCATCTCATGGAAACAAGTTTCTGCCACTACATATCAAAGTTTCCTCCTCACTAGAGGAAGAGGTGGCCAGGCAACAACTATCACAATAGAAAGTAAACTCAGCCGCACGTGTCTTTAATCCACAGACATCAGCCCAAGGCTTGGTACTTGATGTCACTATCACACGGAAGCGCTTCCGCCGGCTGCACATACAGGACCGTGTGTGGCAGTGGCGTCACTTACTGATCCTTCAGAAATACTTACTACTAATTCGGTCGGTGCCTAAAAAGTATTGAACACGATACCCAGCCCTACTACTACTACCACCCTGTATATGCACAAGTGGATGGCAAGTGAAGGCTCAGGAGAAATTACAACAACAGACAGAACCAACGATTGTTCAGCATTGAGAGTAATGTGGCAAGAGGACCTCCTACTGTATGAATCATGCTGAGTGTGTCTACTGTATAATGTGACAGCCAGAGAGGATGTGGAGCCGCTCTGCTGAGCGCCCAGGGAGCAAGGCCAGAGAAAGGACGCTCCTTAGAGGAGGTGCTACAAGGCCAGACTCTGGCTTGAACCTCGGGAGGCTATGTATGGCTGCCTCTGCCTATACTGGCCCCAACTGTGAAAGGCCACTGTTCTGTTCACAGTGAAAGGCAGTGATGGGCCGCCCTCAGAAGAGAGGGAACCCTTTGTCCCTCACTCTGTGTGTGTTTGTGTGTGTGTACATGAGTGTGTGTGTGTGTGTGTGTGTGTGTGTGGGGGGGGGATGTTTGGTCCAAACTCTGAAGACTTCTGTGTTGCAGCATATGAAGCTTAGTAAAACCTGCCTCATTTCCCTCGTCTGGAGCTCTTTGTATGTAAACCACTGGTGTGTGTTTATGTGGCCACAGGATAAGCATGCACATATATCTTTGCAAGAAGAACAGAGATATTCTTACCTGTTTGCTTTCTTGGGAAACCTGCAAGATAAAAGAGAATGACCGTCAGTCTCTCCCAGAAATGTCCTAAAAAGGTAAACAAAAGCTCAGCTGTTTATGCCTATTTGGAGACAAAAACAAGACGCCAAGCCGACTGCTTCTCCGGAGACCCATATAGCGGGTAAACATGATAATCCCGATCAAACATCAGAGTTCTTCAGCTGCAGATTAAACCCTTTTTCAGGTCAAATGTCAGCCGGCTCTCCAATCTCAGCTGTGTGTGCGTGTGTTGCGATTAAGCCCATGCAGACATCACGACTTGTAATTATCATATCCGAATCACATCCATGGCCCGTTTCCGTCGAGGCAGCCTGGCCTGAGACTGATTACTGCAACAGAGTGACGTTGCGATGAAGTAATTTAGGGATACTATTACTGTCAGCTTCATGTTGGAAAAGGTGATGTTTTCCAGGAAGTTAGAGATTTGTCTACTGACTTGCAGCTTGGCAGACGCAACCATGAATGAAAACTGAAAGATTTAAGGAGATACTACACAGCCTTATGGACACAAAAGCTAGCTCAGAGTCAACTTTCTATACACAAAACGTTCTAATAAGGTCTACATTTAAGACTAAGGGTTTTCTTCCTCACTTTAATACTGCACCGGACTGAAAAAAGGGCATATTAGCATCTGTGGGAATGAGCTTCTAGCAAAACCTGACCAGCTGGATGTGGCAATTCTTACCGAAGAACCAATTTTAACTCCAGTATTCCATGAAGGATAAATAAACACATAAGCCACTTTAAAAAAATCCCTTTAATGATATAGGTCTAAGTCATTGAGGGCCCCAAAATAAAAAACTCTCATGAAGTTTGTGCCAATTATCATTGTGTTTCTACAGACAGAGGGAGCCACGTTCTGCCATTCTTCTTCAGCCTAAATTTAGATTTGGTTTTATATCTTTTTTTTTATTGTGATGAAGTGAAAAGCATGGCAAAGAGACTCATGTCTCCACCAGAAAATAACCTAATAAAAACTAATACCTTTTTATACTTTATTGTCACGCCCACATCTCTTTATTCAGGGCATCTTTGCTAGGCAAGACAACAGTTCATTTTAAGTAAGGTCTGACATGGTAACATTTTCAAAAAAGCCTACATGCATTATGCTTTGTATAATGCTTAAAAAAAACGTAAAATAGACAAAGACAATAATAAACAGGATGTAACTCCATCACTAAAATCTAAATGCACACAGTATTATACTACAAAACAGTAGTATGAATAGCTAAACATTTCAGTTATCCTTAATAGAGAGGTCTCACGTCTAACTAGCCCACATTAACTCTCGTTCTCCTGGCGACAGTGTCCCATTCAGAGCCATGCCGGGGCAGCTGAATGGCCCGTTTATGAAAATGCCTCAGACTGTAATAAGTTCCAGAGCCTCCAGCAGAAAAAAAAAAGCTTTAAGTAGCCCACTCCCTAAGAAACCTCTGAATTGGAGAGACGGAAAAGTCAGCACATAAACACACACACACACATACACTGAACTGGGACATGCGTACACACACAGGGGAAAATGAGTAGGCAGATGTTGTTCTTGGTTGATCATACAGGAACAAATGAAAATGTGACCAACCAATTTCTAAGGGGCTGGATGATGCATCAGACAGGCTATAATGTCTATGCTGAACCACACTTATGAATCATGCTTAGAGAAAAAATGCTCTACTGTTTTGTACATGTTAAAGCAGGTTAGACAGAACTGAAAATAAATTATGTTTCCAAGTATATCACGCAGTATCTACATCACAAATAACCATGGAACCATGAAATGAGCTGCCTGAGACACGTATAAAGGCTAAGGAGAGGTCATGAAGAAAGATGGCAGCACTGGACAGAAACAAAGAGAAATACAAGTGAAATAGAAAAAGCATGTCTACAATACAAAGCTATACAAAAGTCAAAAGCCCAAACAGTTATATTAGTTTAACCGAAAAGGAGGTAATCATGCAACAGAAGGTTGCAGGTCAGGACGAAGAAATTATTTTGCATATAGGGTTTGCTGTTGTGTTGACTTCCAAGGATATCAAGCACAGCATGACTTTCATCATTATAATAAATATACTGTGACATTTCTTAAAATATAGGTTGCATTTCTAAATGGCAATCCAAAAATATCCTGCTGCACAGAATCCTGAAAGGGCCAGGCCTCTGGTTGGTGAAAACACACAAACATACCACTCTGGGGCTTGACAGCAAAAGTTCTCTAGCTGCCCCAGGCAACCAGATCTGGATCACTGTAAACCGTTTTTTAAGGTCTGCATGACCTTATTGACAACGACGTTTCCAAAGTTAATACAAAAATAAAAGGTAGGCTCAAATGAAATAAAATAAAAACTCTGTGCCTGGGTGGACAAGAGTGCTGCTGTCGCATTGATTTCTACACTAAACCAGCAAAACTACTACTACGAAAATAAAATTGATAGATTAATTGAAAAATGAAAAACAATGACTCACTAGCATGACAGCCTAACTACACAACACAACAGTAATGACAGGGAGGCAGTCTAACCTTTCTGAAAAAGTGATGCAACGACTTCATCAGAACTCATATTGCCGCCTGGTTTGGCATGTTCTTGACAGCGCTTGACAGTGTGTTTTTGCGTTTTCATGTAGACTGAGATGGGGTTTTTTTATATGAAGAAGGAAAAACTGCAGTAATAAACATACCCGTGTCCGTGTGGATTAGGCCTTAAAAAATATACTAAAAACTGCTAAGTAATCACAGACAAATGAAGCAAACAAACAGGGAGTTCAACTGCTGCTATAATCCATCTTTATAGCAAAGGTCATGTATACCTATACACAGTATAGTGTCCTCATAATTACCAACAAATTATTACTATGAGTTATTTAACAATAATCACTGACAAACTCTGCTCTCGATTGTGCTTTTTTATAGCTAATCAGATTGAATAGCTTCTCAGAGCTACTGTGAGAGTTGTCTGAGACAGAAATGATATCAACTATTCTTAAATTATATGGTGAAATCAAAAAACAAATACACAGATTAACCATATTTTAAGGCACTGACAAACACCACAAATTGAGTCCCTACTCCAATACTCTGCAGCACCAAGCCTGTATGCCAGCAGAGCAGCTAAATGACAATGATAGACAACTGATTTATGTAGTGGCAATACAAATTAACAGAAAGGCTTACAAGCCTCATGAACTGCTGTTCTGTTTTGCTTTCTCCTAGGTTACATGTGCGTAGAGGGCTCATGAATACACACTAAGCCTATACTAAGTTTGTTAGAGCTGACGTGTTAAGTCATGCTGAAAATTAAAAAAAGAATAGAGCACAAATATCACATCAATTGCATTTCCCTGTTTACACTTCTATGCACTGTCCTGCCCTTTAGATTTCCACAGCAACCACAGAGATTGGAAAGCTAAGGCATGCTGATTCAAAATAAATTTCTTACTTTGCCACATAGTTTCCAAGAAGAATTATAAATTTTTATTGTCATAAAAACAAAAATACAAAAGAATGTTCTAAATAGAAAAGAGTATTAGTGATAGGCCAGTAAATATAGCTTACAATAGGCGCAAGTAAAAGACCTGTAGGCCTCGTCCCGATGGATGTATTTAACTTAGTGACCTGAGCAATGCGTTCTTAACCCTAACCCCAGACTGTCCAAAATAAGTAATTGTCATAGTTGTAAATAGCTTATCAGGCTCCATTGTGAGGATTTTACTTAGCTCAGGCTTGTAGCTGAGCTAAATTCTGAGGAGATAGCTCTGTATCTTGGTGGATACAGACTCCAGTCACTGCAATGATGAATGATCATTTAGAAGGGCCTCACTACCGGGTTAACGTTTTTCTTGGGCTTTCACTGAAAGGTATCACTGAAACACAGTCATAGCTCACATAACGTTACAGCATATCTAGTGAACTATCACAATGGCTCCACATGAGCAGTGAATTCTCTGTCCAGTAGACAACAGTAGTTTTTTGTGTCATGTCCCAATGATAATTTAAACACTCTGTTATGAGAAAAATAACCAACTTATATGGCAACTGAGAACAGCACGGACAGAACAGCTGAAATGATTAATCGACAAGAGGACTGACAGACAATTAATCAGCATCTCATTTGATAACTGATTAATAATTCGTGTCATTTTTAAGCAAAAGTCTTATAGACAGTAAACTTAATATTTTGGGGGTTTGGACAGTTGATCAACAAACACACAGTTTGAATAGCTCGTCTTGGGCTTTGCAATGGGCATTTTTCAGTATTTTCTGACATTTATTAGACTAAATGATTAATCACTTTAAAAATCATTATTCGCAGCCCTAGAAAATACACACTTATATTGTGAGATACATTGTGAACAGCAATGATAATACAATTTAACCTCTGCAATCATGTGATTAGATCATTAATATCTGTAAGATAGTATTTATAAGCCTAAATAACTGAGTAAAGCTAGATTAATAAACAGCCTATAGAAGCTTTGCTCTGCTGCAGAATTTGCAAATGTTTTCTTGGTGATATATATATATGTATAGCTTAACACTAACAATTGCAGCTGTTCTACTTGTGTAGTTGTATGTAAACTTGTGTAGGTTTAAATGTTTTATACTAGAGATCATATATAGATCTATGAGAAACTAGACTCTGAAAACCTACAGCCAGTTTTCAAGAATCAATTCTCTCATTTAAATTCTTCAGATCCTGCTAAAAAAAAGTCTTCATGTCAGAGCTGGGACCTCTTCCTGGACAGGGCCATTAGATTTCCACAGAGTAAAAAAGGGAGAAAGAAGGCAGAGTCAGAACAGGGTGGGATAGGAGGGAGGGGCAGCACTGGAGCGGGCCTGGGCTTGAATGCTCCATTGAGGTTTGGTGTTTTGATGGAAAACTGTGGCAGAGCTAGGCCAACTGCAGCAGCAGTGGCAGCACGAGAGGCCGAGACCAGACCAGACCACGGAGAGAGAAAAAGTAGTGAAGGAGGGAGGGACGAACAGCCCT